GCTGGGTGTCACCTGGGGCCTTCATACACAGAAGTAATAGGAATGATAAATTCACGTGTGTGCTGCTTCCATGTGTTGCGTTGTTCCCAACGGGTGTATCCGTACGTTGAATTGCTGTTGGTCAGTGCCAAGTCACCAGGGACCAATTCTCCTTTTACCAAGATGGGTGTCCAAAAGAGAACTTCATACCAAGACTGCTCCAGCTCCGGGGGAAGGGTATGTTTGGATCATATGCGCGTTGTAGGTCGCTTATGAAAAGAAGAGGAAAAAAAACTGTAAAAAAAAAATAAATAAAATTTAAAAAAAAGGGCTGTGCTATCACATTTTTCACTTTTGGATAACACCTTTCTTTTCTTGTATTAAATTTATCTTGTTCATTTTAGGTCAGTGTTTAAATGTACAACACTTGGAACACGTGATTTGGTTACCAAAAGTATTTGTCTTAGGACGGAAGAGATTGCTCAGCGGTTGATTAGTGCTTGAGCTGCTGCTTGCAGACAGCTGATACGGGACGGAGGAGGTTTGATGAGCCGGTGATGGAGCTTCAAGGCAGACTGCAGGTCTTCATGGCAGAAAGACCCAGGAACACTGTGAGCCACATCTCCATTTTGTCGGAGCCCTGAACGTTGAAGTGATTGAAGCAGTTGATAATTGGAGCTTACTCTGCTTTGGTGGGGTTTTTTGAATCCCTCTGGGTACTCCTCTGCGTGCTCTCGCCGGCGTGCCTCCCGGCTGTGAGCGGGGGGAGCCCGTGCCTGCAGGGGTGAGGTGGTGGTGTCCGCTCTAGGCCGTGGTGGTTAGAAAGTCCAGACACACTGAGACACCCGTCTCTGCAAACTGAAAATTGCCGACATGACTATAAAGGGGAAGTTACGGTCATATCCAGAGCAGCAGCTAATTACAGAGGATATTAGGTGAAGGATGCAAAACCGCAGAGCTGCGTTGCTGGGGTGAGTTTCCTCTCGGTTCTGCTGCTGCTTGCGCTCCATCTTACAGCATCGCTGACCGAGCCTCCGTACGAGATGCGGGCTGTACTCTCCAGCGGCGTACGCCTCCGCCGCGCTCGTGCTCCGCGCTCCGCACGGCGCCCCTGGTACGGGGCGGGTTTCTTGGCACAGATTAGAGTCTGGGGAGCCGCACCGGTCGTGACTTCTGCGGACCCTCTCTGGTCTACTTACACACTCTCTGTGTGTGTGGAGATCGTGTGAGTAACAACACTGAACGTCTCCTCTGGCAGGAAGTTGTTGGTGCTTGTGCTTCGTTAGCAAGTCCACGTTTTGTGAGTAATTGCCTCTTCACTGTCTCGTCTTTCAGCAGTTGCTCAAGCCAAATGCCTTGCCATGATTTTAGCATAAAGGTAGTTCCAGGGGTAATTCCAGCCTTGCTGTCTCAAAGTGGGTGTGTAGTCCGCAGCCGTTTCGTTAGAATTAGTTACTGACAGGGTGGTTAATTCCTGTTTAGTTTAAGGTGGAACAAAGCACGCACAGCTAAGCATTTGTTAACTTCCGTGGGGCTTTTTTTACTGGAAATGCTGAGTTTGGGCAGCTGTATCAGTGGACATTCCCCTAATTTAGATACGTTGAACTTTTTTAAAGCTTCTGTTGTGATTTTGATTTAGGGTATAGTTTCTAAAAATAAAACCTGTCTGAATGGATTTTTTTTCCTTCTCTTACTATCTTTGTAGACTCCGCAGAGCACCAACCAAGCCAGAAGCTTGCATTGGTCTTCAGGCATAAAGTCACGACTCGAGGAGCAGGAAAGGGTGTTAATTACAAAGCAAAATCCAACAAGTGGTTATTGGACTAAAGAAGCTACAGGTAGTTTCCCCAGGGGGGTGCGTGCATGTGTGCAGCAGGTACCCACCCGTGCATTCGCCCGGAGTTGGGAAAGAACGCAGTTTTTGAGTCCTGTGGCAAACTGCCGGGGTACCTTTTTCAGGGCAGTTAGGGGGTTATGGACATCTTCCTGAGTGACAGAGCAGGAGCAGGGAGAATGAATTGCTTTGCCTGCTCTGAGCTGTGCGAGTTGTTAGTGGAAGGCGAGAAGAAGGAAAAAATGGCTCACTGGTGACTTGTTATTAGTGCAACATTTATTCTCAAGGAATAGGGGGTTTTGTGTTCCAGAGGGCCTGGTGGCAGCTCCGTTATTTTAGAAGCTGAAAGGAAATGGGTACTGAGATGCTTTGTTTGGGATCTTTGTCTTAATTTGGAGTAGTCTTTTGGGATGGACTGCGAGCGCTTCACGTCCCCAGTCGGACTCCCAGTGCCGGTCGCACAGGACGGAACCCGCTGTGGCGGGTCTGCCTGTGCACCCCGCAAGCTGGGAGCCGGGCGCAGGGGATCCCAGCTGGAAACAGGATACGAGGGAGAATGCAGCAGCAGATAAACCCCTGTAAATGTGTGCTTGTAAAATTCTCTCGTTGTGTACAGGGCTCCGGGGGTTACACAGGAGAGGCTTTTCCTCTGATCCCTGTATGGGTATGTAAATACGCAATGCCTGTATATCCTAGGGTTACAGATCTGTATATAGAGGAATCGTGTATCCTATAGAAATGATCAGTAGGCACACGCATAGAATACCGTTATATTTACATTTTTATAAACCTGTAATAATACTACTTTTCCTTAGCGTGAGGTTATTTACCAAGGTTTTTGTAGTAACTCCTTGCTAGCTGTACGAACCCCTCTCAGTACTGTACGCGTGGCGCTGTTGGTGACGTCGTTCCAGCATCTTGCTCCGCTCGCGGATGTTACACTTTTGTATTTTTATATCTTTTTAAGAGCTGCAGATGTGGCATTAGCAAAGGGGTAGAACTGCCAGCCTTGGCTCCCTGTGTCCGTGCGCTCCTCAGCCGCCTTCCCCCGCGTGGCTCCTGGCTTGGGGACCTTTTTCCTTCTTGGCCTCCCAGCAGCTCGTGTCGATAGGGAACAGTGGTGGTTGTGTTGCTCCCGGCAGCGCTCTCCCCGTGCGGGTTATTAATCGTTCTTGCATAGCAAAGGATCCTGGCTGCCGTGTGCTGGCTTGGGTTGGATCGGGAAGGCGAAGCTTAATCTGTCACCCACCTTCTCTCTAGTCTGGTAAAGGCATCTTGAATTTTTTTTTTTAAACTGGCTTCGTACTGGAGCCCTGCCCTGCCCTGTACTGGTTTCTGACAGGTTGTGTGAGAATTTAAAGCTCTAAAAGAAACGCAGGTGGTGAAATCAGTGCCCTTCTTCTCTTCGGGCCGTCAGCTTGCAGCTCGGCTGCTTCCAGAGACAGAGAGCTGTCGTGCTCGCTGGTACAGCTCGTGAAACTGCCCCGTAGCGCTGGGGTGAGGAGTCCGAGGATTTCCCTGCCTGCGGTGGGGCACGGGCAGGCGCTTGGTTCAGGCCCCAGAACTCCCCACCCAGCAGCTGCCGCTCTGAAACCCGCCGGTTGCGCGCGTTTGCTCCGGGATGCAGGTCAGCGAAGGGCCCCGTGTCCAGATCCTGTCAGCGGCCTCCGCTTCTTTTTGGTCCCTGGAACTGCCCCTCTGGGAATCGGGGAAGGTCTGGCCTGGTCATCCCTTGTGCCGGTCCCGGAAGTCGGGATAAGGGCGCTCGGGGGAAGCTCCCTTTGACAGGGCAGAGCGCGGCACCTCGGGGGCTGTAGGACTGGGAACACGTCCCGGTGTCCTGCCGAGCAGACCCCACTATTCCTTGAGGCTTTTATTAATCTGGACACTACGAGGTGATTTGAGATATTTCCATTTGAGCTCATTATTAAGGAGTAAGCTCCAAAAACCAGCACAGAGCTTCCCAACTCTGCCTGTTAGCGTGGTTCACCTGCCTTTCTGCCGTGCGTTCCTGGAGCGCACCGACCGACCGCTGAGCTGCCTTTTCCGCTGTCCTGCGATGTGAAAGTAGCACCAGATATTCCTTTGTGCATTTCTGTGTATATGGCTTCGGTGGTTGGGATTTTCGGAGCACTGAGACCCAGTGTTTTCAGTTTGTTCTATGAGGGGATATTTCATTTGCATCTATGTTTTTAGCTATCCTGTGATAACTTGTTGAATATTAAAAAACAAAAATATTTTGCTTCTATTGGGACATTTGTATACTCGCAACTATATTTCTGTAAACAGCTGCAGTCAAGAATAAAACAATGAAAGTTTTCATTTTGCAGTGTAAAGTCTTGTTGTGGTTTTTTCCAAGGGCATCTTCTCTCTTCCGGGAGGAAGTGTCCGTTCTTGGGTACGGAACCAACCCGTCTGGGAACCGCGTGGTCGGGAAATGCTGGGAGGGCTGTTCTGCTCAGTGCCAGAAGTCCTAAGCAGAGGTGACTGGGATTAGTTAACGGCCTCTCCAGAGGAACTGCCCCAGACCCACTTGATCAGCACCTTCGGTGTGTTCATGCTAACACGCCACAAACGAGCTACGGTGAAAGATGGAAGCAGATTGATGTGAAAAGATTTCCCTGGATGCTCCCCCTGCCCTGGGCATCACCCACCGCGGGGGTCAGGCATGGCTGTGCTGCAGGGGGGGTGAACACAACACCCTGCTGCTGCCTTTTGCCCCTCCAGCACTGCCAGCCCTGCCGCAGCCATCCATTACCCACCCCACTCCTGAGTGCCCTGGGACAGAAAAAACCCACCCTGAGCAGCTCTCCTCAGCCTCCTCTTCCTCTCCAGGCTCGGAGGGAGGCACAGCCCAGCCCGTGAGCCTGGCACAGGCAGCCCCAGAAACCAGACTGAGCCACGGTGCGGTGGGTTTTTGTGTTTATTAGCAAAGCAGCTGTTGCTGGAGGCATCCTGGGGCGAGCAGGGAAGCCACTGGCAGGCTGAGGGGGGTCAGAGCCTCCCCAGACCCCGGTGACTGTCATCCCCAGTCCCTGGCCGCACTGCAGGCACCACAGAAGCACGGAAGGAAAGGCCCATCCCTGCCCAGGGCCTTCCGAAGGTGCTGGGAGCGTCCTCACCCCCCCGAGCCATTGGGTGTCGGGCAGCAGTATGCGAGGCCGGGGAGACGGGCCCGTCCCACCCTTCACCTCCTCTTCACAAACTTCTTTGTCGCGGCGTTGGGGTTCAGGCGCCTTCTGCCAGCGCCCAGGGCCGCGTCCCGGATCTGCAGGTTGGCTGCCCGGCTGTAGACGTCGTGTTCCGCAAAGGGCGAGATCCCGGCGACGTAGTCGGGGTCGAAGACGTTGGTCTTCTGCCTGGCCTTGCGGGACAGTCGCTGCTGCGGGAAGGGCTGGTCTTCCACCAGGTGAGGGTTGTTGGCGTGCTTCCCTCCTTTCGGGGCCGGGAGGGGGTACTGCCAAGAGAAAAAGGTTGTTAAACTCACTGCAAGGACAACTCTTGCTCAGAGGGACTTGCAGATGGCTGCAGGCCTCCAGAGCTGAGCAAACGAAGAACCGACTGCAGGCCGGGCCCTTCCCTCGGCAGCAGCCACCCAGCCCGTCACGTGCAGCTACTCACCCTGAGCCCTCGGGGGTTCAGCACCTTGGGGTTGCGGGAGAAATGCATGTGGAGGCTCCCGTCATCACTAACGCTCACCGCGACCTTCTTCAGCGTCTTGTTACCGCAGTGGGGACAGAAAACCTTGGTCATGTCCGAAGTGGTCCTGCAAGATAGGTACAGAGGGGTTTACTCCTCCCCGGGCTGTGGAATTCAGGCTTAGCCCACCAGCAGGACCGACCACCCGCCCAGCCCCAGCAAGCCCTGCACGCCGTGCCGAGGGCGGCGGCTGCCTGCGCGTGCTCACCTGAAGCAGCCGTGGCAGCGGAGGGTGTAGCTCCTGGCCTGCCGGATCAGCATGCCGTTCACCGCCAGCACGTGGAGGCCCATCTGCAGCAGCACGTTCTGCAACCAGGAGGGAGAAACCGGGACGCTGTGAGCTGGGACCGCCCGGAGCTTTAACTGGGGTTTGTCAGCCTCGCGGCGAGAGGCTGGCGGAGCCAGTGGACTCGGCAGAGGGCTGTGCCGCGCAGAGAACTGGCCGCTCCTTTGAT